ATTTTTAATTTTTATATATATTTTATTGATTATGCTATTACAATTGTCCTATTTTTTTCTCCCCTTTATTCCCTCCCACCAGCGTTCCCCACCCTCTTAGTTCATGTCCATGGGTCGTACATATAAGTTATTTGGCTTCTCCATTTCCTATACTATTCTTAACTTCCTCCTGTCTATTTTGTTCCTACTATTTATGCTTCTTATTCCCTGTACCTTTTCCCTCATTCCCCCCCCCTCTGATCTCCATTTCAGTGATCCTGTTCCTGTTCTAGTTGCTTGCTTAGTTTGTTTTTGTTTTTGTTTTTGTTTAGGTTCAGTTATTGATAGTTGTGAGTTGTCATTTTTCTGTTCATAGTTTTTGATGATCTTTTTCTCAGATAAGTACCTTTAACATTTTATATAATAAGGGCTTGGTGATGATGAACTCCCTTAACTTTACTTCATCTGGGAAACACTTTATCTGCCCTTCCATTCTAAATGATAGATTTTCTGGGTAGAGTCATCTGGATTGTAGGCCCTTTCCTTTCATGACTGAATACTTCTTGCCAGTCCCTTCTTTCCTGCAAGGTTTCTTTTGAGAAATCAGCTGATAGTCTTATGGGAACTCCTTTGTAGGTAACTGTCTCCTTTTCTCTTGCTGCTTTTAAGATTCTCTCCTTATCTTTAATCTTGGGTAATATAATTATGGTGTGCCTTGTTGTGTGCTTCCGTGGGTCCAACTTCTTTGGGACTCTCTGAGCTTCCTGGATCTCCTGGATCTATTTCCTTTGCCAGATTGGGGAAGTTCTCCTTCATTATTTTTTCAAATAAGTTTTCAATTTCTTGCTCTTCCTCTTTGGGTTGAATACATTTTTAAAGATAAAAATTGAATTCCTATACTACCTGTTTAATTGAACATAAATTTTAGAAATGTTGTGAATGAAAAACGGCTAAGTTAGCCTTAGCTTTGAATGTTTCAAATGTTTCAAATGTTTGCCTGCTGTTTGAGTTGAGAACTATGTCATAGTATAGCAGTTTACATTTGTGTTTTGCTTTATGGTAGACAAAGCTTTGCCCTGCATCCCTTGGCCTTATCCTCATAATAACGAGATGAGATGGTAAAGGTTGGTGACATCTCTGTTTCATAGTTGAAAATACAGTTTCAGAATTTATTCATAGTAAAATTATGAATTATCTACCATATGGGTTTCTTTCTACTCATGTTATTGCTGCATTTACTTAACGCCTACTTTATAATTTAATTGACTCTTTCAGGTGAGACACTAAAATTAAACTTTCCCCAGGCTGAGGCTTTCCACAGCCAAGCGTGCACTACCACTTCAAGGTAATTTATTTCCTAAGCTGTGTGCCAAATAAATCTATTTCATAGATGAAGTCTTTGTTTCTTCCCTTTCATCTTCTTCTCCATCTTCCCCCCCCTTTTTTTTTTTCTGGATATGGCCCTGTTTTTCTTTCTGATATGGTTTTCTCTCGCTTAACTGTTATTATTTCCTGGTGCATGCACTTGGCCTTTCCATTGGAGACTGAAGACTGCACCTCCCTGGCTGAGCTGAAATGCAGAAGGTGTCTCACTAGGGCCAGGAGAGCGGCGCAGAGCGGAGTGTAGGAGCAGAGCAGAGCTGTCTGGCCCGAGAGGGGCCTTGCCCCAGGGCTGCCTCACAGCCCTGCTGTCTTCACAGCTGTGCTGTATCACAATTGAGCTGTTTTGCACTGAATCTTCACTACCCTCAAAACAAAACTGTCATTATTTTCTAAGTATAGATGCATGATAACTTAAAATGTTACTTTTTGCAGGGACATATACTTTTTAATTAGGATCTCTTAAGGAAGAGCCTCCAAAGTCAAATGAGGGGGTTAGACTGGATGATCTTTGAGATTCAGCTCAAACATCCATGTTGCAATGTATCTATCTTTCATTATGACGTTTTGGGGCCTTTCACATACCTGAGAATGATATAATTTTGTTTAGAAATACTTGTCAAAGGCTCTTCCAATCACTTGGTATTGCACCAGCTTTCTTGGCTTACTTCTAAGACAGCTTATTGCTGCTCTCTGATTCTGTGGTAAAGTAGTCTAATGGAGAATATGGAGCTGGGAGTCTGAGGAACTGAGCTCTAATCAAGGTTCAGTATGAATTTCGTGACAATGTAAATGTATGTCAGGGAAAGCTGAATGGTGTGGAAAGAAAAGGATTTTGGCCAGGGTTCACTGTTTATTTGCCCCAATATTTTTTTTTTTAAGATTTTACTTATTTTTAGAGAGAGGGGAAGGGAGGAAGAAAGAGAGGGAGAGGAAGAAACATCACTGTGTGAGAGAGGGCTTGGCCTGCAACACAGGCATGTGCCCTGATTGAGAATTGAACCAGAAACCTCTCATTTTGCTGGATGACAACCAACCCACTAAGCCACACCAGTCAGAGCTCACCCCATTCATTTAGAAAACAAGTAAATATATGGTATAGGGAATACAGTCAATAATATTGTAATAACTGTATGAAATTATCAGGGGGAATACTTTTTAAAGTACATGATTGTCTAACCACTATGTTGTATACGTGAAACTAAAACAAATAATATTTATTGTAAACTATAATTTAAAAAGTAAAATAGTAATGATGTAAAAAGGCAAAAAACCAACCAAACAAACAAAACCCAAACCCAGTCAAACAAATGGGTATTAAATCCTCGGTACCATGCCAAGTTCCAGAGAGAAAGCCGTGAATAAGATAAAATTCTCTATCCTCAGTGAGTACTATTTGTTGATTTTGAGCATCTTTTCATCTCTTGAGTTCTCTTTCCCCCATGTAAAAGGTGCAGAGAATATATACTCATATTCCACAAAAATTACTGTTGTAGTGATCTATTGTTCTGATGTCGGGTTGTATTACTTGGGTGTGCAGGGTAGAAAAAAGTATTGAAAACAGCTGTTCTAGTACAAGTTCCTCATTTGTAGATGACAGAGTAGGACTCAGAACAATTATAATTGACCATGGCAGTGCTCTTTTTACTTATCACTCCCAGTGTAGTTTCTTCTGGGCCCTCAGGAAGTTTTTGCAACTTTGAGAGTCCTTTCTTTCCCCTCCTCCCTGGCCTATGTTATTATTTCCAGCTCCAGCTCAGTTCCAATACTCAGTGTTGAGAACAGACTCTGAATGTGTTCATTTGCACATTCATTTTTTTAAAAAATTCTCATCCAAGGATATATTTATTGATTTGTTTTTAGAGAGAGAAGGGAGACGGAGGAACATTGATGTGAGAAACATCGATTGGTTCTTTCTTGTACGCACCCTGACCAGGGGTTGAACCCACAACCTTGGCATGTGCCCTGACCAGGAATCAAACCCACAACCTTTTGGTGCACTGGAGGAGGCTCTGACCAGCTTAGCCACCTGGCCATGGCTGCGCACTCATTTTGCTTCGGCTGGGTTCTTTCTTCACAATCCATTCCTGCCATTTTCCTCCTTGAAGTCCAACCATCAGTGTCACATTTTTCTAAGGTCATGGCCCCTCAACTTGGTGAAGACGTTCTCTGGAATCTTGTAGCACTTTGAATCTTAGTTTACTATTCTTGTCCTTAACCTGTGCGAGCTAGCCTTTCACCCTAGAGTGTACACTGTGTCCTGTTGCTTTTTTCATTCCCCTGGTGTTTTCTGTAATGTTTTTATAACAACTGGTAAACAACCTTTGATTGAATTAAATTCTTTAAAAATTTTTTAATGTATTGATCGATTGATTTGAGAGAGAGAGAGAGAGAGAAACATTGATTTGTTATTCCACTTATTTGTGCATTCCTTGGTTGCTTTTTGTATGTGCCTTGACAAGGGACGGTACCCATAACTTTGGTGTGTCGAGATGATGTGCTAATCAACTGAGCTACCTGGCCAGGACATGAATTGAATTTTTGAATCAGACTAACAGCAGTATGATAGCAATAATACCTGACCAGTTTAGACCATAGAATGCTATTGTGGTAATAAAATGAGGCAATGAATACGAAGCAAATTTAGACAGTTTTTCAAGATAATACACCAATGAGGATGACTAAATGGAAAGTAGTCTGGGAGCTGATTCACATTTGAAATAGTTGAAAAAAGTGAGTATTACTTTCTTTTTGCCTGGAGACTCTGAGTATTGGAAGATATAATCATTGTTCTCATATTTTTTGAAAGGCTGTCAAGGGGTAAGCATTCGGTATTGCTCTAGGCAGCGAAACTACTAGCAGTGGAAGGTAGTAAAAGGGAAGCAGCTTTCGGTTCAGCAGGTGGCAGAACGTTCTAACACTTAGAGCTGTCCAGCGATGGAGCTGGCTGCTTTACTTGAGGTACTGAGCTCCCTGAAATTTTGAACAACTGTTGAAATAGAAGGTGGATGACTCTCTGGCTGGAATGTGCTTGAGGGAATTCCTGCCCGGGCAGGAGTTGGACTAATGACCTTTAAGGTGTCTTTCAACTCTAAGGTTTCTACGGCCGTTCAGCTCAGTTGAATATCTGAATTCTTTGTAAACAAAAAAAAAAAAAAATTTTTTTTATTGTTATCAATCGACTTAAAAGCTGTATGGTCAAGTTTACAATACGTAAAATTTGATAAAATGAAGAGTGGGAAATCAGGCTTAAAAGTCCAGGTGCCACTAAAGAGAGAGGGGGAGGGAGAGAGGGGATGTTGGAGGAAGAGACGGGGAAAAGGAGAGGAAGAAAGTCTGTGTTTGGAATGATGCGTTCCGGGCAAGTGACAGCTATCGAAAACGTAAGCGCTCTGAGTTGTTTCACTTTACACTAACACTTGTGCATTTTTCACATTCAGCAGTACGGTAAGCAGAAGCGAGAGTCTGTGTTTGGTGAAGAGCAACTTCCCGGAAGGGGCTTCGCGGTGCTGTCTCTGCTTACGACGGCTCCAGCGCCGGGCCGACAAGGCCACCTAAAGCGGAAGCGCCCCTGCTGGCCGCAGGCCCGAACTACCAGTCCCAGTGGTCCCCGCGGCGCCGCGCACGCGCGATGGCGTGGCGGCAGCGCCACCTCAGGACGCAGGCAAGCCAGCTAGCGACTGGCTGCGACGGCGGCGGAGGTGCTGGTGGCAGTTCGCGGCGAGGGCGACTGCTCCGAGGCCGAGTGGCGATCGGGCGGAGACCTCGGTTCCTTCCCCTGCATGATTCTCTTGGTGAGTGTACGTCCCCAGTTAACCCGCGCCGGGGGCACAGCTTCCTGTCTGGCGACCAGGCTGCTCCGGCCTTGGGCCAGAGCCTGCGCCTGACTGCCGGGCCGCGGGGTTCCGCTGACCCCTGGGCCCTTCCCTTCAGTGTCGGGGGAAGTGGGGGTGGGCAGAAACTCGGTGAGGCCGAAGGGAGAAGTGTCGCGGCGCGCTGGGGCCGGGCGGCCTGGGGCGGGCGAGAGGGAGGGTCGCGTTGGGGGATGGGATGCGAGGCGAAGCAGGTAGGGAAACCGAGTATAGGAGGCGAGAGTGAGATGGAATGTCTTTTGAGTGCCGCCGGTGAAGATGTCGTGCCTCGGGGACTCTTGACAGGCGGGACTCACCTGTCTGGCGGGTAGCCCACCTACCATAAAGACTATATTTGGTATCTCTCCACTTGCTGTGGGAGTCACGGCAGTGAGGGACTGTTGGTTGCTTCCATCTCCTTCCCTTCAATCTCACCTTTTACTGACTGGCGAAATTTAAATGGGTGCTGGCTCGGCATATCATAGAAATGAACAGGGCTCCGTGTATAAATCTGCGTAAAAATAGGGAGGCATGATGATTCGTTCAGGTAAGAGGTAGGTCAAAGAAGATTTCAGTATTTTTATTTTAAAATTGGTGACAAAACTCAGTTTGAACAAGGCTTTGAACTAAAAGTGTTTTTAACCCGAGATTCACTGGTTGGTGAATAGAACTGGGTGGGGGAAGAGGTCCTTGAACTAGAATGGGGATAACTGTGATTTATTATGTTCTTCAATTATGAATGTAGGCAACAAACCACAGTAGAATTAGCGATGCCTGTGACTTTGTCACCGATAAAGATTACAGGTGTTATTGTATCATCTTTACAATTGTTGCAGATATCTTAAAATATTTATGCTTATGATTTCTTCAAATTTATATTGTTAGATCCACCGTTAAATCTTGTTATTTAATGCAATGCTAAAGGTGCTCATATATTACTATATCAGAGTTTTAAAAAATTGTTTTGCTAGCAGTCCAGTATAATTGGTTTCCTTTGTAATCATATGTATTTAATTATGCATTTAAAAGCAATCTGAGAAGGGTTCCATAGGCTCCACCAGACTACCAAAGAGATTCATGGCACAGAAAGATTAAGAACTCCTGAAGTAGAAATAACTCTTTTGGGCTCTGTAAGTCTGCCTGGAAGAATGTTTGAATCCTTGGATGAGAAATAAGATAAGCAGATAAGATGATAAATATAGATGAAAGAGGGAATTTTGTAATCAGGGGAGAAAAAGAAAAGTGTTGACTGAAATCAGAGTAATAGTTTTGAAAGATAGAATAGACTGCAGATTTTTCATTCAGGGTAGCGGGGAATCAACAAAATAATCTGAGGAAGAAAGAATAGTGAATACTTTGGCTTTAAAATGTTACTATTATGGTGCCTCCTAGTTCCAAGAGATGAAACCCTTCAAACTCTTGCGGAAACCTATGATATGAAGTTACAGTGTGTGCTGGTTTTCTTTAAATCATATTAATAGTGTGGCTTTTAAAGAATTGTCTGTCCTTAAGTGAAAAACCCCAGGATCTCTCTTCAAATATATTTTTTTTGTTGCTCGTACCTTCTTTTCATATGCGATAGAAAGTAAATGTGCAGACTATAGAGCTGGAGAGTTGGTAAATTGGTTTTTTTAATTCCATTAAAGTATTTTTTAAATTTATTTTTAGAGAGAGGGTAAGAGAGAGAGAAAGAGAGGGAGAGAAAAGTCGGTGTGAGACAGAAACATCCGTCTGTTGTTTCTAGTATGCACCCTGACCACACCCTGACCAGGCTTTGAACCTGCAACCCAGGCATGTTCTCTGACTGGGAATCGAACCGGCAACCTTTTGCTTTGTGAGATGACACCCAACTGAGCCACACTGGTCAGGGCTCATTTAAAAGTTTTGCAGTTAAACTTCATTTTGGCATTTTGGCATTGAGTCATTTGTCAGATTCCTCACTGACAAATGACTCAACATTTTTTTTTCCCCCCAGAATATGTGTGACTTGAAATTTGCACCTGTTTGTAAAGTACCTGTCAGCATCTGGTGTGAGATTCCTTCCCCGCCCCCCTCCCCCTCAAATAATAGTAAAAATAGAAACCCACTGCTGCAAATTTTTTTTTGGAAAAAATAAAGGGGGGATATGGAAAGGTAAATAAGAGTATTTTATGAAACAGATGTTGGTGCTGAAATTGTAATTTACATTGTATTGATCACACCATTTTACAAATCACTGCCTTGGAGAGGGTTTGCCTGTTTTCTGTGTCCTAACACTGCCACCTTTGTCAGTCTTTCTTTGTCCCCTGTCCCTATATTCTATTGATACATCTTTCTATCTGGTATCATATACTTTGTATATTTATTTTAGTATTTTAATCTTTGTCTCCCCATTAAAATGTCAGCTCTGTGAGAATAGGGACTTTGTCTTCACCACTGTGTTGGAATAGTGGCTGACGCTTAAAATTACTCAGTAAATACTTGCTGAGTAAATAAATTAATGAGTTAATTTATAATGCTAGGTGTTTTATTTCTAGGAATAAAACATCCATTTTTAAAATTTTGTAAAGAGTATGTGTGCTGGGTTGACTTTGAACTTTATTTTATATGTTTTTTAATTTTTAATTTATTGTTATTTTTTTAAAAAACAGGAAGTTATTTCCCAACACTTTTTGGTGCTTTTGTGGGCATCTGGTTTCATATAGAACTAATTATTCTTAGTGTATACTTCCAGGTAGGCTTATTATCCTTAGTTTTCTGTAATGATGTAAAGGAAAGGTGTGGGTGAAGTTCTTGTTTTCTTGGGGCTCTCTATTTTGTGCTTTGTATAGGTTGATATAAGTGACTGAATTTTTCACATCAGATGGATAAAAATGTTTAATGGCTGATAGTATCAAATGTTAGTGAAGATGTGGGTGTAAGTGGTAATGTAGAAGCTGCTGGAGTTTACATTGGTACAGCTGCCTTGAGAGACAATATTTGCCATGTTTAGAAAAGTTGAAAGTGGGCACCCCTCCTTTTTAACTTCACAATTTCTGGAAGGCGGTAAGAGTAATGGGAGGTGGTAACAAAGGGGATGATAGCTGTAATTTTTATTTAAACACTAGAAGCAACTATGACAATGTTTGTTAACAGTCAATTCTGGGAGCCAGAACACAAGTAGTAAATCATTCTTTGTGCTTTTCTGTTGATTTTTTTTGAATCCATAACTTTTAAATGTTTCCCAACTCTTTGAAAAAGTGTAAGCCTGCAGAGGAGTTACAAGAGTGGAGCAATAAACACACATACATTCTTCACCTAGATTCAATAATTGTTAACATTTGCCATGTTTGGTTAACAAACAAGTAGACATATTTTGCTGAACCATTTTGCGAGTTAGGTATAGATACCATCAGCACACCTTTCCCGCAAATACTTTAGGACATATTTTGAAGAACAAAGACTTCCCTCTACATATCTACAATTCAGTCACCCTCAAGAAATTTAACATGGATGAAATACTATTTAATAATAGTATATATACAAATTTCCCCAGTTGTCCCAATATTGCTCTTAGTTTTTGACCCAAGATTCAATTAAGGATCTTGTATTTAGTTTCTTGCTTGTATCTGAAGTCATTTTTCACCTTTTTTTTTTTTTTTGGTTTCTCATGACAGTAAGCATCCAGACTAGGTTTTGTAAGATGCTGCTCAATTTGGATTTGCCTGGACATTTCTTCATGATCAGATTCAAGTTAAGCATGTTTGGCTGTGCAGGTGACTTTAGTTAGGCCTCTTTCAGTATATCACATATAGGCATGAGATGTCAGTTTCATTATTGATGAAAATTTGATCATTATCGTAAAGACAGCCCTTTTTCTTTTTTAATTAATAAGTAAGCCATGGAGTGATAATTTTAAAACTTTCTCAAAGTTATGAGTTGGTAACAGAAATACCAGTTTAGAGGGTCAAGAAAATTTAGATTGGAGATACTTCTAATAACAGAGAGTGGGAGAGGGAATGGGATATGTGTAGGAGATGGGATTTGAATTGGACCTTAAATCATAGATGTAATTGGCTATAGAGGTATTGGAGAAGTTCTCTAGGTGAAGGGAACCTTGAACAAAGACAGGGACCAGTTTGTAAATTAAATAGATCATTTGAGTCTTTTCTTTCTCTCTCCTTCACTTTCTCCCTCACTCTGTCTCTCCTTCCCTCTACAGTGAAATTGCTCGGAGGGAATCTGAAGTCAATATACTGGAAAAGAACCAGAGAGCAAACAAATTGGGTTTTGAATTCCTTCTCTGCCGCATAATAGCTGAATGAATAGGCGGTAAGTTATGTGACTTTTCTAAACCTGGTTTCTCATCTGTGAAATGGAAGTGATAATTACCTATCACATAGGATTAAATCTAATAATAATATATGAAAAGCACCAGCAACATGGCTTTCACTCAGTAATTGCTAGTTATCGGGTGGTGCTCCAGCTCTCAAACTACTTTCACTCTTTTCCACCTTGGTACCACATCCCTGGCTTTTAAACAAGCCCTACTTGTCTGGTGCCTTCTTGGCCACTGTCACAATGCCGTCACTTCCCACTTCACCCAGTTGGCTCCACTGGGAGTTTGTGAGCCGCTTTCCAGTGATGGCACATAGCGCTTACCACCTTACAAGGTGATGTAGCCTGATACTGTCATTCTGGAAATTGCAACAATAGGTATTAACTTCTTTTTTGGTTCAATTCACATTATAACATCTGCCACTCTTTAAATGTGATGTGCTTCAGTTTAAATTAGTTTTATTTAGAAAAATTACTCCTCATATGTATAGAGAATTAAAGAGGGAAAGTGCCCTTTCACTTAATTTTTTAATTTTTGTGAGTGCAAGTGTATTGGGAGGAGTTGGTTACACATTAAACTAGGATTCTATCTAGTGTAAAGTATGATTTATCTATCTATCTATCTATCTATATTGAAATATTTTTTGGTAAAAGCCTGATATAGGTGGAATCCTTCTTACTTGCTTTGGAAACGTCAGTACTTGAAAACAATTTTCTGAAATGGTTAATTAATTTTTTTCCCTTTCAACTTTCTGTTTCTTCACCACACATATTTTTTTCTCTGGAGTTAATTTTTTCTTAGGCATGAAGGATTTCAGGGTTGGGTTTTTTTTTTTTCCCCCAATTGAACTGCCTAAACTTTTGTTTGCATAGAATTATTTCCGGCTTTAACTCCTAAAGTAATCCTAATTAAGATGTTTTCATTTGTAAAGTAACTAGGACCAGTAATTTCTGTGTCATATATACATTTTAGAAGAAGCCTCAGATAACTTGATTTCTGTTTTTTAGAATTATAGGCAATTAAAATTTCCTTCTTTATGTGTACCTACATTTTCTGAATTTTTCAGAATGTTTTATTTTACTATGTATTATGATTTTGTAAAAACATTTTTAGAAGGGCAGTTTTTCATTGTTCCTCAGCTGAAACTGGGTCTTGAACTCTGCAATGCAGTAGTCAAAAGAAGTGGTGAATATCGCTACGTCAGGTTCCCTTATTTAAGGGAACCATATAAATGAATGGTTGAGCAAATGTTTAAAAAAAAAAAATACCCAGAGGCTTTTCCAGGAGTCTTCATAGTGTCTCTCTTTTTTTTTTGTAGTTTGACTATGAAACTTCTATGTATACACCTGTTTTGTAGGCCATTTTTTAAAAGTAAGGCTTTAAGCACACTGTTGTAAGTGTGAAAACAGGCAAGATGCCTGCTCCTTAACCTAAGATGACTGTCCTAAGGGTGCTTGCTTGGTCTCGCCCCCATGCCATGCTGGCGCGCCCACGCTGCAGACTAGTGGAAAGCATGTAGTCAAACGTGTTCGGTTCTTTTTTTCTTTTTTTCTTACTAACTTGTTTTTAATATATTTTCTATGAATGTTTGAAAGGAGTAAATCATGGTTTTCCTATTAGAAATTTTAAAAGATAAAATTAGTCAAGGGATATTAGCCCTTTTCCTATATTTTCAGGATCAGAATCTAATTTTCTTCCCAAGCAATCTTAATTTTAAAGCATAAGCTCTTTTTTTAAAAATTGATTTTAGCAGGGGGAGGGAGAAAGAGAGAAACATTGATTTGTTGTTTCATTTATTTAGGCATTCACTGGTTGATTCTTGTTACGTTCCCTGACTGGGGATTGAACCTTTAAATTTGAGGTAGTAGGACGATGCTCTAACCAACTGAGCTACTTGTCCAGGGCCTGCAAACTTAGTTTTATGCAAATATGTATATTTTTAAAGTTTTTAGAACTTAAGCTAAATTAATTTCTTTTCAACCCACTTTGAACTCTACATATCTGCTTTCACTTTCTAATAGAGGGCTGTGACCCATCTCTTAATTTTACTTCTGTTATTTATAAATTCTGACTACACCAAAATACATTAGGTTTAAAAGTTATAGCACTTAAGGCAGAATTGCAAAATGTTTATAAATACAGATTTCTGTACCAGAAAACTTAGGAAAGAATAAGTGGATTCTTCTTGAAAAATTATTTCATTTTTACCACCTCCTTTAGAACCCAAGGAATCTTTGATTCCTTTCAAACAAAATGCCTTTTAATATCTAACTATTCAAGGTTATGATTGGTTAACTGGGATTCTGATGGAAAGCAACTTATTAAGCCTCTTTCTTCAATCATTTCAAAACATCATAATAGTAATGCTAATAATAGCTAACATTTATTATTTTTCTTTTTCTAGGCATTATGTAATCTATTTAAAATTACCAATTCCATAATTTTTTGGAGACATCTTAATGGTTCATTCCTTTTGGAAAAAATATTTTAACTAACTAGATAATTTTGTGTGAGTGTGGTCCAGGAAGTTCCTTTTAGGTTAACACAGTCAATGGTAATAATCTAATTTGAAACTTGATAATAAATATTTATAATTTTATGAATTACCAGTCTGGTAAATGTGATGAAATGAACCCGACAGCCTGATGTTTACATGCTTCTCTTAATTTTGAGGGTGGACTCTTGGGTTTTGAAACAGGTTTTTCCAGTATTACAGCTCAGCAAAAATGTAGCCAAAGCTTCCTCAAAGCATGTGGGTGGTGAGCTCTTCCTCTCCAAAGTTTGCAGAGGGTTCCAAGGGTTTTAGGTTTTTCTTTGGTTATTTGTTTTATCTTGATCTCCAGATTTATATATGTCTTAATGAGTTGTTATTAGAGATTATTGAATAGGAAATTAGATTGGTGGTATTTAATTTTAGACTAATAAAATTAATGGACATTTACCTAATTGTGAAAGTTCTTGCTACCCATTTCTGGATTTGGTGAATATCTTTGTATCATTTATTGCCTCTGGGAAATAAAGGGATATGATTTTAATGCCTTTGCAGTGCTCATTGGTGTGTAGCTTGTTATTGTTGAAGTATGTCTAGAAATTAAGGACTGTGTTCTTTTGGTTCAATGAAAAATGTCATGTTAAATATATTATTCACAGAACTTGTCTGGTCCTGAGTGTTAAATAATTGCACTAGCAGATCTTTAATTGGGGAAGAACTCAAGACCAAGCTTTTATATTTTTTCTTTTTTAAAAAATTACTAAAGGAATATATATTCTTGTTTAAAAGAACAACTAAAACAATGTAAAAATGAAAGCTTTTCTTCCCTACCTACACATGCATATATTATATGGTTTAGATTTTTTCTTTTTTTCCCTAAAATTATACTTAATGCCTGTGCTTGCTAATAAGTACTTTACATATATTAACCCAGCAAATCCTCCCAACCCTATGAATATACCCTATGAAATAAGTTCTATTTTATGTCCATTTGCAAATGGAGAAACTGAGGCACGGCGAGGTAACTAGCCAAAGGTGGCACACAGCAGCACTGAGACGTGAGCCCAGGTGGTCTTGCTCCATCCAGGGTTTGTGTGTTGGCCTCCGTGATGCCTCTGGGGCCTTACCATGCATATTGTTCAGCAGTTTGCGTTTTTCACTTAATGATACGTGCTGGATGTCTTCCATGGACCTCTACTACCTTCTTCTTAATAATCACCTGTGTGTAGCATTCCAGAATAGGGGCGTACCATAACTTACGTTAGTTCTTCCAAACTCAGTCTTCTTTAATATTGACAATCCCATGATTTGTAATGATTTCAAGGAATATTTTTAAAAGTCGAGAATTTTGAACTAGAATAGTGAGGATACATTAGTATTTGTTAAGTAATGCATATTAATTGTCCAGGTACTTGATAGTCTCTCAGTTGAGTTGTATAGTGAAATGTGGCTTAACCCACAGTCATTTGTTATGCATGGCTTCATTATTTTTGTGATTAGCCTGTCTTCTTTAGATCTGAAAAATTAGTCGTATATTGGGGATAAAATCAGTACCTGTTTGGGTTTTATTTATTTACTTTTGTTAGGGTCTGGAATTTTGGTATCATAACAAGAAGTCTGTAGTGCTGATTTGAATTTTGAGTATCATCTGGTTTTATATTACTTGCATCTTCAGAGTAGTCAGCCTTTCAATTTTCTGTGCTTGTGCCAGAAACAGTTGTTACTAAGTCCATTTTTTCTTCTACAATATATTACTCTTGTTTCAAATATACCAACTACAAATATTAAAGTATCACTTGTTTTTATTTTTATTCACATTGATATGCATTTTTCAATTGTGAGGAAATTTTTTTTGTTGTTCATTAATAATTATTTCAATCATGCTCATTGGAAAGTAAGTATCTTCAACCTAAATTTAGTTATTGTTCCTTAATTATTTTGGAAGTGGATTAACAGCACTTTGGTTGGTTGCTAACTGGAGCGTTGCTCTTTATCATTCAGTCGTTTATTAATTATTTATAAATTCAAACATTTATTTAGCACTTGCTAAGAGCTAGTCCCTCTGCTGAGTAATGGGGATACCAAGAGGACTATACCCCCACTTCAGGGAGCTTGGAGGTGTATTGAGATAGCATTTTGTTGCAAACAGTGTAGAACGCTGTGATAGAGATGAGCCCAAATGAGAAAGAATCTGAGTCAAGAGAATGGGCAGTAATGGCTCCTCAGTTTGGGCTCAGCCCAGAAGCTTAAGTAAGATTTAACTGACCGGTGGAAGGAGTGACAAAGGAATAGAGTACATATAGAAATCTGGTCTGTGAAAACCACACAAAATTGTCATTAGAAAGTCATGAGAGTGGGCTGCTCAAGAGCAGGCCTTATCTCTCCTGTTCATCAGTGCTTAGCACATGGTAGGTGTTTAATAAACATTCTTTGAAGGAAATGTGTTCAATAAAGCTTACTGTGCTTGTCTGTACATATTTTTTTGGAAAGAAATGAACATGT